GTGTGTGTGTGTGTGTGTGTGTGTGTGTGTGTGTGTGTGTGTGTGTGTGTGCGCGCGCGCGCGCGCACACCTATATATCTTTCCCCGGCTTGTACTAGATCTAGTAACTGGATAGAAACAGTGGCCTCAAATGGCGTCAGGGCACACGAATCATACAGCAAACTTACGATGAAATGGATCTGTGCGCACATCCCATACGCATCATGAATCAGAGACGACAGCAGTGATATAATAGCAGTGTGTTTGTTTGGTTGTTTTTTGTTTGTTCGTTTGTTTTTCTTTGTTTGTTAGTTTGTTTGAGTAAAACGAAGCACATGGACACAATAACGTTCATTTGGTGCTGGAGAAAATGTAAAACAGACAAACAGAAACAACAGAAGAAAAGTAAAGACGTGTTACCTACCAGTAGCGTGCTCCAACCACCCGCTCAGTGATATTGAAAGTAAAGAGAAGAAAGAACAGGAAAAGCCCGAGCACTGGACAACCCCCAGTGGACACTGCGTGAGATGACGAAAATGTCTGGACAGGAACCACAAAAGTCAGGGAGTCGGTGGTGTGACTCACAGACACACATTCACTCAATACAAGTCGACTGCGGATGGAGAAAAAAACAAACCAAAAAAACCCAAGACGACAAGACATGAATACACACAGATTGAAAAGGACGGGGCGAATTTAGCCCTCATAACTCTGTCTGTCTGTCTGTCTGTCTGTCTGTCTCTCTAACATGTAAAACTCCCCTCCTATACTCATGTCTGTCTGTATCTGGGTGTATCTCCTGTGTATCGGTTAGGCACTTCGCTCTCCAACGCAGGAGATCCGAGTTCAATTTCTGAGTGAGGAGCCTGTGCTGTCCGAGAAAGACAGAGAAGGATGTGTGTGTGTTTGCGTGTGTATGCGTGAGCAAATACTACTTGTTACAGTTATTGTTCTTTGTACCTCGGTTTATGTAAAGAGCCTAGAGCTGTGTACACACGGGAGTAGGAGCTACAAATAATGATCTACGCTATTGTTGTTATTGTTATTGTTGACTGTTTGCGTGGGTGGTTGGCGGGTGCTCTGATGCGGTTTTCTCCTTCTTTCCTATAAAAAAAATCTGTCGTCTTTATCTGCCCTCCTTCTTTTTTGTGTTTGTTACTCTCTTGTAGCACCTCTAATCTTCAGCACTTATATGACCTTAGTGTGTTGCAAGTGCAGTAAAACTCTTACTAAAACAAAAAAATCTCCTTTTTTGTGTTTGTTACTCTCTTGTAGCACCTCTAATCTTCGGCACTTATATGACCTTATTTGTTTTGCAAGTGCAGTAAAACTCTTACTAAAACAAAAAAATCTCCTTTTTTATGTTTGTTACTCTCTTGTACCACCTCTAATCTTCGGCACTTATATGACCTTAGTGTGTTGCAAGTGTTGTAAAATTTTTACTAAAACTAAAACTGAACTGTTTATGTGTGCAGGAGGGCAACGGCCCCAAGAAGCTGGACAAACTGACCAAAGGGTTCGGGTTCCCGGTGGGCGGAGCCACGCTGGCCGACGAGGTGGGTCTGGATGTGGCCGCTCACGTCGCTGAGGATCTTGGGAAGGCTTTCGGTGAACGCTTCCAGGGAGGTAACCCAGAGGTGCTGAAGGAGATGGTCGCTGCCGGCTTTATGGGTAAGTTGTTGTCAGGCTGGGGGTTATTGTGTCTGTGTGTGGGGCACGTACGGGTAGGTGAAACTGTCTTAACCATAACTTTCTAGTTAGTTTGCTGTCAAATGTTTTACATCTTCTCATCAGAATCTTTCTTGAAACTTGCATGGCGCTGCGTTAGCTCAGTTGGTATCACACTGGACTGTGGAGCCGATGGCCCCGATTCGAATCCCCGTCTGGGAGTTCTTGAACTGGGGTCGTTTTGTGGAGTTTTCAAAGCTCTCAACACTGCTGGCTCGGTCTTATCAGAGATGGGTGTTAAAATCAGAGGTCTCGCCTCTTACATAACCTAATAGGGTTGATAGTGACGTTAAAGCATACTCTTAGCAGGGTTCGTAGGGGTCTTGGAAAACGGAAAACTCTTGAAATTTTTTTCCAAGACATGGAAAACTCTTGGAATTTTGAGAAATTGGCAAAATTCTTGGAAAATATTTTTTAAACTAGATATCTAGATCTATAGGTCTATTGTGAAAATATTTCCTCGAAGTTTAGAAGGCCTCCACTTTATGCATTCTGAAGTGTATAACAATTTATTTTTGCGTGCTGAACGAAACAATTTTTTCTGAAGTGACATGCTATTTGTCTTGGAAAAAGAAATCTTGTCTTGAAAACTCTTGGAAAAGTCTTTGACAAAAAAATCTTCTGCTCTGTATGAACCTTGAGTTGGGTACTTTTACTTTGACGAGATCTCCCATGAGAATGCTGACCGTGCCACTTGTGTCCCCTCCCAGGTCGTAAGTCGGGCAAAGGCGTCTACGTGTACGAGAAGGGCAGCAAGAGCAGAGAGGAGAACGCAGAGGCCTTGACCATCCTGGAGAAATATAAACTGACTGCTCCTGAAGGGTACGTATGACCGGGGGGGGGGGGGGGGGGGGGGGATATGAATGTTTTTGCTTTAGTTACTGTTGATTGTTTATTAGTTACTTTGTCACCAGGGGTCAGTCAGTTAGACAACAAATTGTAATTTGGTATGTTGGGAAGGGGGGGGGGGGTTTTATGTTTTATGTTCTCTCCTCCTTCTTTCCTATCTAACATTTATCATCCTTTTATCTCTCCTTTCCTATCAACTATCTGTCATCCTTTTTCTCCTTCTTTTTTCCTATCAAACACCTATTGTCCTTACCTTTCCTTCTTTTCTGTCAAACATATATCGTCCTTATCTCTCTTTTTTTCCTATCAAACATCTATGGTACTTGTCTCTCCTCCTTTTTTCCTATCAAACATCTATGGTACTTGTCTCTCCTCCTTTTTTCCTATCAAACATCTATGGTACTTGTCTCTCCTCCTGCTTTTCTGTGTATGTCACCCTTCTTGTAACCTCACCTCTGATCTTTGGCTTTTGTATATGACATATTTATGTTGCAACTGCTGTAAAATTACCAGCTTCTGCGGTGTAGCGATTAGACGCTTTGCTGTAGCACACAAGAAACGTGGGTGGTTGGTGGGTTGTCTGGTGTGGTTTGCTCCTTCTTTCCAATCAAACATCTATCGTCCTTATCTCTCCTTCTTTTTTATGTGTATATTATTCTCTTGTAACATGTCTTTTCTTCGGCAATTATATGATCTTAATGTGTTGCAAGTGCTGTAAAAAACACTTACTAAAACAATAAATCAATAATACAAAAACACAAGAGACTCAAGTTCCAATTCCAGAGTGGGGAGATATTTTATTCGAATGGGTCTCTGTGTGTGCCAGGTTCACTGATGAGGACATCCAGTACAGGCTTGTGTCGCGGTTTGTCAACGAGGCAATCCTCTGTCTACAGGAGGGGATCCTGGCCAACCCGGTGAGTTGTTGTGTCTTATTGTGTCTCTCGTTGTGTGTCTTGTTGTGTCTCGTGTCTCTCGTTGCATCTCTCATTGTGTGTCTCTTGTTGTTTCTCTTGTGTCTCTCGTTGTGTGTCTCATTGTGTGAGTCTTGTGGCTTCTCTCACCGTGTTTCTCATCGTGTCTTTTCACGTCTCGTTGTGTGTCTTCTTGGGTATCTTGTGTGTCTCTGCCTTCTTTCTTCCTTCATCTGTTCTCTTCTCATTGTTAGAACACAATACACACATGTACTGTGCCGTGTCAGCAGTTTTCTGTTCCTCGCTCCTCGGCTAATTGTGTCCCCTGATTTCTTTCGACAGCTGGAGGGTGACATCGGAGCTGTGTTTGGACTGGGCTTCCCTCCCTTCCTTGGAGGTAAGTGCGGCTACATAGCTCAGCTAGACTATTGGGTGGCCACATGGCCTCAGCTAGACAAAGGTTGGTTAGACAAAGGGTGGCTACATAGCCTCACCTAGAGGAAAGAGTGGCTACTTGGCCTATCTTTTTTTTTTATTAAACTGACATCTTTGGATTCTGATACTTGAACAACGGATGGTTGGAGGGTGTCACTCACAGGCCTCACTTCTGTCCTATGCTCAGCTGAATATGAAAAAAAAAAAAGGTGATCTTTTCGAACTCCGTGGAAACATGGGTGCTGGGACTCAAAACGTGTGGATCATTTTGTCTAACAGGCCTACATCTCGTATCAAGACTGGTTTTACATAAAGTTCAACAGCTTCTCAAAGATTGGCCTGAAGTCGTGCAAAATCCAATTTTAGACATCAGAATTTCCGGGTTTATCAGGAAGTTTGGCTCCTCCGTATGCTTCTGTCACTTCTAACCTATCGCTGATGTTATCTCCACACACCCCCTTTTATGTTTGTCACCAGTACTAACATTATACTCTTATCTGTAACTCAGACAAAAAGTAAACAAAGATCTTCACCATTTCCTCCCCCCCCCCCCACCCGTGGGTGGTTGGCGGGTGCTCTGGTGTAGTTTGCTTCTTCTTTCCTATCAAACATCTATTGTCTTTATCTCCCCTCTTTCTTTTTTTGTTTGTTACTCCCTTGTAACACCTCTAATCTTCAGCACTTATATGACCTTATTGTGTTGCAAGTGTCATAAAACACTTAGATCTACTAAAACAATTCTTCCCCCCCCACCAGGTCCCTTCCGCTACATTGACCTGCACGGAGCCAAACCACTGGTAGACAGGATGCTGAAGTACCGCGACGTCTACGGGATCGCCTTTGAGCCATGCCAGCTGCTCAAGGACCACGCTAACGACCCCAGCAAAAAGTTCCACTCCTGAGTCGCCAACCACAGCTGTAGCGTCATTTGTGAGGCGTCATGGTGAAATCAGGCTCTCGTCAAAATGATGCAATCTAAGAAACACATTTTCTACAGTTTGGGAATTTTCATCAATTTTTTTTTTTAGCTCAATACTTTTTGTGTGCACTTAAAACATTCCTGTGTGGAATTTACTGTAAAAAAGTTGCTCGAATGCATTTAAAAAATGTAAATTTGCGATTTCCAAGGACTTATAATCTTTGGAAGTCACAAAACTTTAAAGGACATTTTCTTGCTAATTTTTACCTGACACCAAGCGTCCCCCACCTCCTTCAATCGCAAATGTCTCTACTACTCTTCAAGATAGATGGGTATATTTTTTATCAAAAAACAAAACAAACGAACAAGCTTTAAGATAATCCAATAACTCCATATGCCCCAAAATTTACCGAGTGCTTGATTTCACCGCGGTGACCCACATGTGTCGGTGAGTGCGTTCTGGGAGCGTAGACCACATGACACTGACTGAGCAGTGTGCCCTATCTTTACTGGAACATGATGTATCTTTTAGCATTGCCATAAATGTTTGTGATTGCTCAGCTCTCGATGTGTCGAGCACGCCGCCAGTCGAGGCTCTCTGATCAAACCAGCTGCCTGGGTCATGTGGGAGTTTAGCGCGCCTCGTGTGTACCCGCACCAGTGTGTTACAAGTGTGTAAGATTTTGATTCTCACTCAGGGAAACTGAGAGACGCTGTGTTTTTGTAGGAATGAAGAGAATTATACGTTTTTTTCTGTAATTTTGTATGTATTATTTTTAAAAGTACATTAGTTATTGTATTTTTAACCCTACAAGTGTCACTAACAAAAGGCCTGGGGTGTCAGGGGAAATTATATATATAAATATATTTATAGATATATATATATATATATATATTATATCAACTCATTATGCTGAAAAATGCTTGAGAACAGGCAAACCAAGAAGTATAGGCCTGAAATCTGTCCATTTTCAGAAAGTACAATGAATAAGTTACAACATGATGAATATATTTTTTTCGATTTGTTTACATAGATATATTGACTTTGACTTTGACCTAATGACCAAGATTTTTTTTAAAATTGACCGTGACACCACAGAACAAAACTTATGGCCGATTTTCTGGCCTATGACACTTGGAGGGTTAGTGTGTGTCATGTTTTTGTAACACACGCGTCAGTTCCTCACTCCAGCATGATGAATCAGACTCTGTGAGTGACGTGACACGTGTATCAGCGAGGAAAATTACGATGAGACGTACATGACACGAGAAATTTTCTTGAGATTAAATGACAGCAAAGTCAGGGGCCTGGTGTTGGGAGATTTGTTTGTGTCTCAAGTGTGTCGTTGATTGTGACATCATGGTGCGAGTCTTGAATGTGTGTCGTTTATTGTGTCTTCATGGTGTGAGGTGGTGATACAAGGCAGGTACCCCCAGTGGGTCGGGGGGATATAAATAGACCCACTGCTTCGTCTGCAGAAGGTGCAACCCCTTCAAAGGCGGAGTGTCGCACA